TTCTCTCAAACGTTGTAAAACAGACAAGTAATATATTTGATCAAACGCCTGATCTTGTGGAAGAAACTCTGAGTGAACAATACCATGACAATCGAAGAATATAATCAACATTGTCCTAACTTTTGTACGACTTTGTCGTGGTTTCTTGCTTATTGGCCCACTTTCAAATAACCAATCCGTTGATTGCTCATTTGTATCAATATCATATTCATACACCCACATCTTATCACCCGTTATTATTCGCTGAATGAATGTCGTGTCTTCAGAAGATTGAAATATCATATCCTCTGCAATAGCTTTGCGTTGTTCCTTTTGCATGAAGGTCAACAGCTTTGGCACAAATCGAGTAGAAACGCGTCGCATGCCCAAAACATCGGTTAAAATGGTACGTGCAGATCCGGTGGAAATGCCAAGATCAGCAGCTATCTCTTTCTCGCTCACACGACAATTTTGAAGTACCATTTTCTTCGCTTTTTCTACATTTTCGTCGTTAGTTGATGTGGACGGGCGCCCAGAGCGAGGTAGATCCTCGGCTACGGTACGGCCCTCTTTAAATGATTTGTACCATTCATATGTTCGCGTTTTGGACATACATGATTCTCCGTAGGTTTTTTTTAACATTTTGTAGGTGTCGGAACAGCAAATTTCGTTGGTAAGACAAAATTTAACGCAAATCCGTTGTTCCATTAATGTTGACATTATAAAACCGCGAAAAAACCCTTCAAAACTTAATCAAATAATTTGTGTAAACAAACTTAATGTCAGATGGCACAAAAATTTATTATGGAAGTTGCCAAGTCTTCCCATTTATAAAATATTCTACTTTGGGAAATGATGGATTTTTTCAATTATTTTATGAAAAAATTAAAAAGCATTTGTTATAAATGAATTATATAGAGTATTAATATAAATCGTTCATTTATCTTAAATTAATAGAGCTAATGTTAACAATGATATTAATAAATATAAAAAGTTACTATACAAAATACTCTCATTATTTAAAGGTAAAAGTCACATACAGAAGATTAATTCAGCCTTATACTTTGTTTCCACTGTTTACTTAGTAAGTTACTTAAGTAACTTTGAGCTTTTGTCGTTTACATTGGTACAAGTTACTTAGGGCATTGCACTCTACTTACACAAACTACTGTGTGGCACTCTGCATGAAGCTATAACATTTGTTCACATTACTTAACAGCATATGGATAGATGATAAGTTTTTAAAGTATCTTTAAGCTACAAACAACAATATGTCATCTAATTATTTGATGTTAGAATTTTTATAGATAGCGGAGTTGCAAAAATGTTTGCCTTTATGTCTCGAAGCACAGACTTTTTAAACACTCGAATACGGACCAAACCAAAAGGTTTGATTTGTACGTTTAGCAGTTTTTGTCGATTCAGAGCATTTTTTATATGTCATTTTTTGTTTATTATACTGACAGATGTCTAGAGTTTTCGAGATATTTACGTTGTATTGTGAACGTAAGTTTCTGGATCTCTGTTCTTAAGTTTGATTTGAAAATCATGAAGTAATTTATCTTGAGCCTATTTAAACCCTAAGAGACAAATGCAGTCGATAGCAAGAAAACAAAACTAGTAGTATTTTCGGTTAGTCAGTCTGGAATCAATCTAGACTTACTCTTGATCTGTCAAATTTTGTTGCCCAATCGAATGTTGTTAGAGTACATATAAAATTATTGTAATTTTTCATAAACACATATGTCAAATCAAATCACACTCTGTAAAGTTATATAAAACAGCTGTGAAATTCAAAGCAATCTTGCTTCTATGGCAAAAAATCTAGGGTGTTATAATTTAATCTCGAGTGTTATACATTTTGTCAAGATTCACCAAAATCTCAACACCAAAAAATTACACGTCAAAACATTTATAAAAAATTATTGCAACCCTGCTTATTGACTGTCAGTCAATAGCAGTGCTGCCAAATCCGACAAATTTTTATTATCTTAGCGCGAAAAGTTGCAAGTGGTTTTGTGAGGTTTTCGTTTGTATAAAAGCTAATCGCTTTATTAAGTTAACTTAAAAATGTCGGATGAAATTGAAAATATAATACTGCCAAAAACATTGGAGGAGTTCACAGAAACTGACAGTTTAAGCGATGCATTGAAAGATCCTAAATTTTTGGCCAAAGTCCCATTGTTAAACTATACGCCTTTGCACAAACTCAAGAACCATGCTTTAGTGCGTTTTCGTGGCATGATACAAGATATGGTGGATCCAGAAATATATTTAGAAAAATACGAAGTAAAGAGTGATAATGGTGACACCAGACTGCAATGTGGAAAATTTCGTGACACTCTTGTTATGAAAAACGGTGAAAACGTCAATTTTGAATCAAATGCTAATGTGCATGGAGAAAGACGCACACTTTTTGTTGTTTCAATACCTGGTCTAAATGAATGGGCCCAAACTTATGAAACAGATTGTAATAAACAAAATTTGGAAAACGCAGCGAACGCAAAAAGTAGTGAAAATGCAACTTCAAAAAAACGTGCTTTTACAGATGAAGGATTACTTATGGAAACAGAAGATATACCGTCTACAGGTACAAATGATAAAACTGTTAATGGAACAAGTAAAAGACAGTGTTTGGAAAGTGAGACCATAGCTAACACAGAATCAAAAAGTTCGCTAATTGGAGTTCAATACATGTTGAACTCCCCTATACCTGAACGCCCTAGTTTAGCATGTATGGTTAAAATATATAATGATCTTGAAGATTATATTCTAGATACAGTAATTGATGCCGTCGGTTTCTTGTCCGTAGATCCATCTTTGGATGGTACCGCAATGGATACTGACGAGTGTCAGTACATTAGTGCAACGGAGTTGCATGCACAGAATCCACCACCTTCGATTATACCACGTTTACATGCAATTGTTGTGCATAGATTGCGTCATTGTAATCCCTTGTTAGACGAGCGTATTTTAGCGTTAAAACCACATCCAATAGTAGATGCTGTTAATGCATTCAAAGATTTGCACAGGATGTTAACGTTGTGCTTGTTCAATGATTCATTAGCAGCAGACTATCTCATTTCACATCTAATATCCACTGTGTAAGTTATGAGCTAATCTTTATAAGATATAATAAAAATATAAAAGAACTTTTTTTCGTTTAGATATAATCGTTCGGAAGGTGAAAGTATTGGTAAATTTTCTTTAAATATCTATAATTTTCCGCAGAAAGATTTATCTACATACACGGATAAGTTATATAAAATTTTAGAACTACTTCTGCCAGCAAGCCATTATCTGCCAATGACCTTGGATAACATCAACAACAGTACATTTGTACCCAAGTAAGAACTTATTTTTTTATACTATGCTGATATTTGCACTTAAGACGAGTAATGAAATCGTTCGCTATTGCTCCAGATATTAGTGGCAGGCGACATATGGAAACGTAGCGTAGATTAAAAGCATGTTAATTAAGTACCCATGTTGCAAGATAGTGCCAAACCTTATTTACAATCCATCCATCTATGATTTTTTTATTATACTAAGTATTATTATTTGATTCATTTCTTTAATTCATTCCTAGTTTAATTCTGCCCAGTTTATAATTTTTACTGATCTAAAATATAATTTGTTTTAATTTAATATATTTTTTTAGAAAAGATTACGAAACAAACAAACTCGTTTCTGGTTTACTGCAGCTGGCGCCTCACACGCATCTCGTGTTGGATGAGACGCATATGCAACAAGGACAGTTAAACAGTCAAGGGGTTTTGGCTATGCAAAATATCGTACATCTTGTTAAAAATCAAGAGATCCAATGTGATTTTCAATATTATAACATGAAATATTTGGCAGATGTGCCAGTTCTAGTGTTTAGCGAAGGCAAGACCATGATTCCAGTAAGTCCTAAAATATCATATCTATATAAAATAAAATAAATATATTTTATATCTATACAGATGCATTTTAGAATTCCAATTAACACCGATAACAACACCGCAGAAATAATTATGGAAACTTTAAAAGCTGCACATCATTATTTGCAACCTGATCGTTTAGATCAATTTAGACGTTTCATCACGGAAGCAAAACTCTGTGAATTTTCTATGGATCCGGAGAATATGGAAATGATACAGACAGATTATGTACAAATGCGTAAAGACAAAATTATCAATAGCAGCGATGAATTACATTCCTTGCTCACATTGTCACGCTTGCTAGCAATAGCAAGAGGGAAAAAAGTGCTCGATAAGGAATCTTGGGAATTGGCAAAGGAAATGGAACATAAACGGAGAGAGCGTATAAAGGAATTACCCAAATTCAAACCTAAAGTTTAAGTACAAAATGTTTTAAATGTTATTATTTATTCAAATAAAAAATCTCTTAGTTTTTATAAAATTATTATTTATTGATATTTTGTTGTTAATATTTAAGTCTAAAACTATGTAAGAAACCTGAAAAAAAGAATTATATTGAAAAAATGTTTACTGTATATCCTTTGTACTAAATTTAGAATGTGTGTGGTATTTGTTTTTGATGTATCCAATCACGCATGCCAACTGTGTAGAAAGTAATGCATCTTCATCATCATTGTCATAAATCTGAAAATGTAAAATATGCAAAATAATTTTTTTTTTCAAACTTTAAATTTAAACTTTAAAAATGCAGGATTCAAAAATAATCTCTCTAATAATTATCTCTATAATTTTCAAGAAAAAAGCAGCAGCAAATTCTAAATTCTAATTCAAGTCTTTTATAGCAATAATATTATTAAACAATAATTTAGAAATTTTATTTTCTTTAAATTTCATACTTGAATCATTTAAGGCCGTGTGAGAGTTCGAGTAAATTAATGGTAAATTTTTTTTTTACCACAATTTCGAATAGGTAAATTAGATAAATTAAATTAATAAATTTGAAGACTTTTAACCGAAAATAATAAGTGCAATTAATAAATAAATATTTACATAAGGCAGTGCAAAAAATCCCTAAGAAATTGCAATTTATTTTACCTCAATTTACTTGAACTCACACACGGCTTAAGAATATGATCTGATGATTTAAATATAATTAAATAAATCTATCTAAAATCTACAAAATAGAAATCTATAAAATTTGTAAAAATTTTTTTATAGAATTTTCAAATATAAAAAGAAAGTAATTATACATTATATACTATATAGCCAATGTTAAAATAGACAATTACTTCATTTTTGAAATTAAACTGCATTTTATATGAAATAATTTATAAATTCATAGTTTCATTTAATTACCTATTTCAACATCCGTGGTATCCGACAATTCATTTTAAATGAACTTTTATAAAACCGTTTTAATAATTTACATATTAATCTAAAAGAAAAAATAAATCGATATTAATATTTAGCATTAATATATTTTTTAAAGAAGAATTTAAAAAATCAAATCAGAATGGATGTGTTTCATTTAACAAATCAAATGATGGGGAATCCGAGAAAAACTCATCATGTGAACATATAAAATAAAGCATATATGAAATTAATTCTTACCTCTTTGCATATCAATACTTTTAGAAAATTTGAAGTTGTCGTTATAAGTGCTGAAAAAAAAACAAAAATTTTTTTTAAATTTTATATTAAAAAATAAATTAAGTAAATAAGTTTATAATAATTAAAATTTTTACAACCAATAACAAGACATACTAATGCAGGAAAATCTCAAAAACTAGTTTCTCTTTTGTGATAAATACAAAAACTTGTTATTGATTATAAAGAATTTTTTGAAAAATCAGTACTAAATAAGCTATTTCATATATGTATCATAGCGTCGGATTGAGAGTATCATCACATATTTAAAAATGTATAAGCGAAAAATAATTATAATACATTCTAAAAATTTACACATACCGTATAAATATGGATTAGCCAATATTTCACCATTTGAAAATTTCGTTCACTTAAATATTAATTAGAGAATTACTCATTCTCAACATTTGCAATACGATTACGATTAGTTCATTGTACATATCCGCATTATCTGTAAAATATAAATGATATATGTTAATAAACAATTTAACAATCAAATTATTAAAAATTTTTTTTTATATATTCAGCAAGTATTTAGCGTTGGAATTAGAACAAATTCTCTTCATAGTTGCATCAAAGCGAGCTGGGTAAGTTGTCATCATATATATTTTTAAAATGCATATTAAAACTTTTTCTTAAGAAAAGTACCTACCTCTTCATAAACACTGAACTGCATTTACTGGTCTTTTGTGTGAAATTCAGTTTCGCACATAAGCTCCATAGCTGTCAATCTGAAAAAAAAAAAAATCATTT